ATATATATAATTATAATAAAGTTACAGTAAATTAAGTTAATATATAATTATATATACAGTACCTAATTTATATATAATTAATATATAATTATGTGTACAGTACCTAATGTATATATAATTTATATATAATTATATGTACAGACGAAACTAAACTCAATTGACCCACCTAAACTGTCCGTAGCGTGGCTCTGGATGGCGGGAAAGTAGTTCAGCTGCCTGATGACGTTTTACGTAATTATAGGAGTTTTTTACCGTTGCGTACGGATACCACCACAATTTTTTCGCCGTCTTATAGGAATCATAATTATAGGAACCAGTCTTATAGGGGGATCTACTGTATATGTATTTCTCAGCAACAAAAAAGGTATTTTGTTTCTGTTTATTTATTTGCTGAGCACTTTATGATACTATGCAGATTTGTTTTTTGCAATAGTGAATGGTTAATTCTTGTATGCACAATGATAATTCTATTAATACTGTAATCTAATGCTATTAATAATAATTAAAGAATCAGATTCTTATGTCAGCCAATCATCTTCTTACCATTCCAACATGAACTGTTGAATGCTACTCCATGATAAACATCTTGGTTTGCATTTATTTCTCTTAAGTAGTATACTTGGGTACAATATAATAAAATTTTACTTTATATATCCAGAAACATCTGACTAAATTGTTATTCACTGTATTAAGAACATACACTGATCAGCCAAAACATTATGACTACCTCTGTATCCAAAATAATGTATTGTATCTAGAGATCATTGGAAGTGGACTGTGGATCAATGGAGTAAGGCATTCTGGTCCAATGAATCTTTTTTTTTTGTTCATGTGGATGGACAAATTTGTATGTGTCATGATGCAGGCAATGCTATGGTACCAGGATACATAATATAAGGAAAGATATGCTGGTAGAAGTGATGGTGTTATGCTTTGGGATGCATTCTGTTGAAAAACCTTAGGTCCAGTCATCCCTTTGGAGCACACTTTGCTAGCTGCTACCTGAACAAATTGCAGATCATGTACAATCCTTCATTGTGACTATAGCCACTGATGGCAGTGAAACTTTCCAACAGGACAACACATCCTGCCACACTGCCTGCATTGTTCATGATTAGTTTGTGGAACATGAAGACAATTTCCAGGTATTGGCCTGATCTCCAAACTTGCCAGATCTCAATCTGATTGAGCATCTGTGGGATGTGCTAAATTGACATGTTCACTCTGCAGCTATCTCATCAGAAACAGGTCAGGCGTTAACAGACTTATTGCTGTCATTCTGGTACAGAATATCCTGAGCCACCTTTAGAGATCTTGTTGAGTCAATGCCTTGATGGGTTTGGGGAGTTTTAGCAGCACATGGTGGACAATGAAATATTAGCTAGCTGGTGATAGTGTTTTGGCTGATCTCCAAAGTAAAATGTTTTAAACATATGCAAACATTTACTATTAACAGAAAAATGTTAAAATGTTTAGAGGATCTGGGATTACTTGGAGTGGAGCATAAATTTATATGAAATTGCATCAAGTGCAGAGAGAATAGCTTTTTCAATTGTTTTGCCATAAAAATGTTTAATTTAAACTAGTTTTATTTATTTATTCAAATGAAGCTGACTAGTTCAGAACATCCCGAATCATTTTTTTCATACTGTTTGTCTTACTATATAAACAGGAGTATTATCTTTTTGAAATATCTAAAGGTGCATTAGTAATTTCCTTTATAAATGGCAAAAGATTTTCAGATAGAACTTGTTGATAGACTTGAGCATCCATTTGTCCTTTGATAAAGACTATAAGCATTGTACCATTCCAGTAAATGCTGCTTAAGTAATGCTCAAACCTATCAACAAATTCTATATGAAAATCTTTGCTGTTTATAAAGGATATTATTAATTCACTCTGGATATTTCAACAAGATAATGTTCCTCTTCATACAGTAAGTCAAACAGTATGAAAAAATGGTTTAATGAGCATAATGTGAATATTTTGGATTGGCCAGCTGTTTTCCCTAATCTGAATNTGAAAAACCTTAGGTCCAGTCATCCCTTTGGAGCACACTTTGCTAGCTGCTACCTGAACAAATTGCAGATCATGTACAATCCTTCATTGTGACTATAGCCACTGATGGCAGTGAAACTTTCCAACAGGACAACACATCCTGCCACACTGCCTGCATTGTTCATGATTAGTTTGTGGAACATGAAGACAATTTCCAGGTATTGGCCTGATCTCCAAACTTGCCAGATCTCAATCTGATTGAGCATCTGTGGGATGTGCTAAATTGACATGTTCACTCTGCAGCTATCTCATCAGAAACAGGTCAGGCGTTAACAGACTTATTGCTGTCATTCTGGTACAGAATATCCTGAGCCACCTTTAGAGATCTTGTTGAGTCAATGCCTTGATGGGTTTGGGGAGTTTTAGCAGCACATGGTGGACAATGAAATATTAGCTAGCTGGTGATAGTGTTTTGGCTGATCTCCAAAGTAAAATGTTTTAAACATATGCAAACATTTACTATTAACAGAAAAATGTTAAAATGTTTAGAGGATCTGGGATTACTTGGAGTGGAGCATAAATTTATATGAAATTGCATCAAGTGCAGAGAGAATAGCTTTTTCAATTGTTTTGCCATAAAAATGTTTAATTTAAACTAGTTTTATTTATTTATTCAAATTATTCTTTTTGTTCTTTTAATTAGTTTTTGTACAAAGTGTCTTTGTTAAAGTAAATGTCTTTTAACTTTAATTGTTATATTTTTATTAATAATAAATTAAAACAACATACATTATTATTTATATAATTATGTAAATTGTTTTTATGTAAATTAGTTCAATTTTTATTTTCAGGACATCACTGAAAATGATTTGACTTGTCTTTCACAATTACTTCATAAAGAATTAGATATATACCTTCAATCTGCTATTATATTAGCATTAACAGGATGGAGGAAAGTGTAAGTTAAATTGTGAGAATCTGGATAGTTATAACAACTTTTTTAGTAATTTTAATAAATTGTTATAAAAATACATTCATTACATTTACTTATTATATGAAAACATTTGAAGCAACTTTTTAAAATTAGATTTAATAAGAATACAGTAGACCCCTCTATAAAACGGGTTCATATAGTTCAGATTCCTATATGACAGTGAAAAAATTGCAACCCTATTTGTATAAACATGCTAAAAGAGACTCGTATAATTCAGTAAAACGTCATCGCCGACTCGTGTCGTGACAGGATTGGTCAAATCTAGACCAATAGTGGATATTGCACAAACCATTGAGTTTAAACGAGCAGCAGACCTACTAAAAACCATTTATTATTTAACAGCCATAAAAATTATATTTATATTAATGATGTCTCCAAAATTCAGCAAAGTTTTTGCAAAAAATAATTTATCAGGAAGCACGCAAGTGCCATTTGATGACAAGCTCCACGATGTAAAGAAGCTTAAGCAATGGTGTAGTCGAACGGTGCACACTTGATAAGTAATCCTACAATTTTAAGTTTATAGCATAGTTTATATGGATTATTGCTAAAAATTATACATATTTTGGAAATGTTGAGTTGAATTAGTATAGAATCGATTAATTTTATGGAAGAAAACCTTTCAAACAGCCGTAGTCCGTAAACTGCATACGTGCCAGGCTGTGATTGGCTCGTGTATTTAAGGACTCGTAGAAAATGAATTTCATAAAAACCGGAATGTATCTACCNCACTTAGTCTTATATACAATGAAAACTACTGTTTAACAGCTTTTCCAAATATCTTTCCACAAAAAAAAAAAAGTCTTTAATTAACAAATATCTTCCATTAAAAGTCAATCCAAACTATAAAGTCTCAGTTGTACAATCAAGCACTTCATGGAAAAACTTAGCTGAGACAATAAATATGATTGACTAGACCAAGGAAACCACACGTCATAAACAATTCCTGGTTTGAAAGTTGATCACAATACTTTTAAAGAATATCTGAAGAAGACAACTTTTCAGATATTCTTTAAAAGTACTGATGCCTACTATCGTTGTTATAATATTTCAATATTATAATACTTCACTGATAACATTTTCATGTTCTAGTATAAAAATTTGATTTGGAGACATATTAGCAACTTAGTTTTTTTTAAATGAAAACACTAAAATAATATATATGTTACGTAAATCACTAGTTATGAGTCTTTGAAAGTATTATAGATAAAAACAGACAATAAAAATTATATTACTAAAATTCTTATGAGGAGTCCAAAAAAATAAAAATAAAAATCCCTTACTTTTTCAAGAAGTGGGAAAGAATAAGATCAGAATTTAAAATAAAAACTTAAGCTTACATTTAAAATTATTAATTGAAACATACACTTCATTAATATTCTGAAAGTTTTGCATTTGTCATATTATGGATATCGATTTTAATATCTCAAAACTATCACCATAGTAATGAATTGAAATTAAAACTATCAAGATAAATTTACTGAATTAACTACTGTATACAAGTACATTGGAAGAACTTGAGGCTGATTTAAGTTTATGCATGTTACAGTGGAACCGTGGTTAATGACCAAATTAGTTAACAAACTTTTATTTTGCAAAAATTTTGTCTTGGATAATGAACTTAATGGTGTTGTTTGTCAAATTTTTAAGCTTGCTGACTTTTAGGGGGAAATCAGTTAATTGCATGTTGGTGATGGTCTAGGGTCCATTCGTATGTTGGTGGTGGTGGTGGTAGAGACAAAAATGACAAATATTTTATCGTGAAAATCATTTATTAGAATAGGAAGATGCTTTGAGGTAGTTGGAAATGGTTTATCTACAGTATTGCTGGAGCAGCGTATCACTGGTCCTATGATAGTGCAAGCTGATCAGTCGTAGCCCCGGAGTAGATGAGATGGGTTCACTTGGTCACTGAAGCGATGTTAGGTATGGAGCTGCGGCAACTGAAATGGTCTGCGAGACACAGCACAAATTTTAGCAGGCACGACTTCAGGCTTAATCCAGATGAAGATGACACATTAATCGCCGTAGAATTTTTAGGAGAACTGTATTTTGACCCGAGATTCAGATTTTTATAGTATTTCTTCCTTGAATCTCACTTTTTGATTGGTCTTGCATCCCATTCCTCACTTCCCAATTGTTTTCTTCTTTGTCTCCAGATGAAAACTGAAAATAGATCAGGTCACAAGAAAGGTCCATTCTGAGGTGTCTATTTGACATCTGTTTGTTGAGTCTGATTGGAGTCTGAGTCTGTTGATTGAGTCTGATTGACATCTGTTCGTTGAGTCTGAAACCTATAAGCCTTGCACTCATAACTTAGCTCATTGTTTCTGCTATCTGTCATTTTGGAACTTTAATGATTGTATCTGATGTTTTTATACCTGTCAAATCTTTCCCTTTTTCTGAAAATTTAACCTAGATTGACTATTTATGAGCACGTTTTCCTATATTTTCATCAAAGAAAACTCATTTTACAAATAAAATTACAAAAATACCGGCTGCTAGAACAAATAAATAGTATTTGCATTAATTTCTTTGGGAAAAATTGCTTCGTTTAATGAACGAAGTTCTGGAATGGATTAAGTTCATTAACTGAGGTTCCACTGTAATTTCCAATTTTAATAATCAGACTATACATAAATATAATACTGAGCCTTACAAATTTTTACAAATTAATATACATTTTAAATACAGTAATTTAAAAAAAATGTCCATAATTTTGTTTATATTATTTATTTTTCTAATTGTTAAACATTAAATTACTATTTCTTTTGATAATATGCTAGTAGTTGATCTGTATCAATTGCTTTAATTATTGCTAAAAGTTTTTTATTATTTTTTATCATTGAAATATTTTCCTAATTTGTACTGTATAAATGATTGTGAAATCTCTTTAAAAATAAAATAAAATTTTAAAAATGATTTAAAAACTCATTTCCTAAAAATTTGAGATAATTGAAAAAATATCAAACATAATTTTATACCAAATTCATATTGAACAAGTAAAACGGCAAAACCGTATTTGGGACAAGACTATATCTCGGAGACAGAATCACTTTAATGCTCAAGGCAGGTCTTGTTCTCATTTTCCTATCTTCTTTGATATTGCTGCTTTTGGGCACGATTGTTCAAACTTCGCTGGCCACGACCACGAGATCGTCCACGATGCATCTTCGATGAAATTAACCTATCTAATTTCAAAATTTCTCTCCTTTGCGTGTAGGCCCAGGTTGAATTTTTGTCGATGTATAACAAAAAGTTCCCATTTTTGAAAAAAATAATCGTGGCTATTGTATCATCCGAAATTATTTTTTTATTTTGCACAAACAATATACAGTTTAACCCAATTATAATGTCATCAAATGTAACAACAGCCCTAATATAACGTCAAATTTTTATCGGTCCTACGATTTTACTGTACTAGATAATGTTAAAAAAACACCCACTTGTAACGACATAAAACCGTTTTAATGTCATATTTGAAGCACACTCAAATTTACAAAATTAGATTACAAATTTTATTTAACATAGAAGAAACTACGTGTTTGGTCCTGAGGTCAGAGTTCACTTCTTAGAATGACTGCGGGTGGTACTCTCCCTACCTGACTTTGGTGGGGTGAGATGGCTGTTTTGACTGTTCATTCATTCATTCATTCATTTTTATTTACTATGTACTGTCAAGTACATTCCTCAGTGGCATAGCGTGGGTGTCAGCCGCCCGGAGCAGAGGAAAATTTCGTCCCCCTTATTTAGGTATCTCAATTTAAAAGACTAAAATTCAGTTTCGTCACAGAATAAATAATGAAAAATTCCATGCTAGTGTTGCCACCATTTTAAAATCGCCGACCCAGACGGCAGGTGAGGTTCAAATAGAAGTTCCTGACGCATGCACATGTCATTTTGCAATGCGAAGAATAATGTGCAGTGCATGCTGGTTCTAAATCAGTTACAGTTAGCAACTAGGAAGACTTGGATAGGAATAACGCAAGTGACCTAGCTGTATTGGATATTGGAGGTGTGTATATATATATGAATAAATTGTACAAGCAAAAACAAATAAAAAAAAAAAGTCAACAGGTTGTGCACGATATCCCCTGACGGCGAGTTGATTCCCGGACTATATGGATGGATGGTAACACTATTTTCCATGCTTATTTCAATCGGTCCGAGTCGTAGGTGGACGAAAATATGAAATGAAATGGTTCAAATTCTTACAAGCTGCTATTATTATTTATTATTGTGATATTGTGCCGCCCGGGGTGGGCCGCCCCCACTACGCTATGCTACTGACATTCCTGGCCCCGCATGAGCATTACCAGGAGATAAACAATACAAATACGTTACAATATATATTCGAAGAGAAAATTAAATAACATTAAGTTGTAGTAATGGTAAATAAAAAAATAAAAATAAATAGATAAAATTGTTGAGGAACATTGATAGGACAATCACAATTTAACTATTAACATTTACATAGATATAGAGTTATTATAAATTTTCTTGATTAATATATATTTAATTAATAAATATCTTGGTGATTGAGTACTTATAGATTAAGAAGATGAACAGAAATAACTGTTTCAGGTCTTAAGAACATAATTATCAGCCTAAGTAGTTAGAACTTGGATTGACATATGTTTTGCTGCTTCAAGATGGAATGAAGTTGGGCAACAACACATTCCTTAAGCAGGGTATCTTGAGCAGAGTATTATTAAAAAGCAAATTATAGGTAACACATCACCTCTGTAGTGCAGGACGATTCGAATGCACATCTGAGATATCACAAGATACCATTGGCACAGCACTTCCAGGCACTAAATACACAGATATGATAACAATCAACGCACAGGGTACGGCACATGAAGAAGAACATTATCCCACGTAGAGAAAATGTATAGAAGTTTTCTTATACAAGCACTTTCATTAGGACAACATCATTGAAAGATGATTCACACTTAATCAGACAATGATGATCAGAACCCTTGTTGTATATCACATATTGTTGTTTTGCCTGTTGGTAGAAGAGGGTCACCATTTTGGATTTTATTTTGACTCGATTCTCGGTCTCCTGACTACCTATGAGTCGGGATTTTTTTATGCGCAAATGATTTGGGCACCTAATACTCTGTGCCAAATATCAACTCTCTACATGTACTCCTTCATACCTCTATGCTGATAAGAACATGAGGCAGTACAATTTTATAAACAAGACATAGTCTTGTCAAAAAGTATTAATGAAAATTTATAGTTATTGAATATTTAGAAAAAAACAGGTACAAAGATTGTTTGAATTTTACTATGATAATAAATATTTATATTAATAATGTAAAATAATATAATATTTAACATAATGGTTTACATCAGGGGTTGGCAACCTCATTGTTACTAAGGGTGCAATAAAAATTTTAAAAATCACCAAGGGTGTATAGTTTAATTTTTGAAAAAAAATTGCAATGTTATAATAAATAAACAAAATAATTCTTTTGAAATATGTATATTTATACAGAATAAAGATTATATATGCACATAATAACTAAAATATCAAAGTTTAAAGTACATATGTTACATAACACAAAATCAAATTAAATAAAATTACAAGTACAGTATATGACTATGATTCTACAGGGCACATCTGAAATGTGTCATGGGTGTTCACATTGCTGACCCCTATATAAATATCTTAATGTTCAGCAGAATAAAAATGATTTTATTTTTCCCCTCATAAATATGAAGTTTTCCTCTGAAATACAGTGGGGGATATATTTAAGATTAAATCCATAAGCAAAATAATAGTTTTTTGTAGCTACACCTGTACTTTGTGGTACTAGCATATTACTAGGCACTAGTAATGGACAAGTAGGACACAATCCATTCACAATTACAAAATTAACAAATTTAGAATAATTTAGCACTATTCAAATTACCTTCAAAAATTTTTTTCAAGTAGTTTAAGAACTTGATCCTATTTTATAATTAATTTTAAAATAATAATAAATTTTTAAATTTTCAAAAATTTATTTAAGAATTTTTTTCCAGCTCTGGTGAAAGAAAATGTTTATGGTGTTGTCATTGCCAAAGGTTATTAGAATTTCGGTTTTATAAAACTGCAAAGTTAAATGAAACTGATAAAGAACCTGATGGTGTAAATTCAGTAAATGTAATTGAAGAAAAAGTAGTGAATTCTATTCAGTTAAATAAGATTGAAAACAGCAACAATGATAGCATTTCAGATGTAAAAACAGAAACAAAAGATAATTTAGAAAAATCTGAAGATGAATTTAAGGTATCTTGTGTTAAAAATGATAATTCAGAAAGTAAAACAGATATTAATATTCAAAAGAATGAAAATGATGAACCTCCAAAAAAGATTCCTAAAATAGAGAGAAAGGTTTGTATTTCTTTTAATTATCAATAATCAATTAAAATTTATCATTTAATATCAATAAATAGCTTTATTTATTTTGCCTAGTCAGATTAATGTTTTAAATATATAAAATATTTTTAACTAGCAGGTTGGCCCGGCGTTGCTCGGGCAAAAGTAATGATAACTAAGATAAAGATTATTACGTTACAGTCAGCCTTTACCCGTTTTCACAGAATGCAAGAATTGGGTCCCCTTGTTTCCAAACTAATTAGAGAATTTTTAGGGTCTAAAAATATGTTCGATTTACCACAAAAACGAAAAAAACTGCATCTGCATCTTGCACGTTGCTTTCTCTTAACAATTCCATTGTTACGTAACATTTCCATTGTTGACACTTCCATTGTTACTTAAAACTTTTATTGTTACTTAAAACTTCCATTGTTACTTAACACTTCCATTGTTACTTAGCACTTCCATTGTTACTTAACACTTCCATTGTTGATGGAAGTGTTAAGCCTTAATCCTGTCCCTCTCCCCCATGGGGAGGAATTTTGAAAAATCCCTTCTTAGTGTGCGTTTTCGTGACGTACCCTATCTGTGTACCAAATTTCAACTTTCAACTCCTAACCGTTTGGGCTCTGTGCTGATTATTATTATTATCAACTCATCTCGATTATATATATAGATAGGATAGCATATATTAAAAGTGAAACTAAATTTGTAACTAATAAAATTTCTTAAATTTATTTCTGATTTAAAATTATTTGAAATATTCAAGTTTTTTCATATGTAATCTTAATAAAAATTTATGCAGTAAACTGTCTTAATATGCATGCATATTGAAACTATAACCATAGCCATATGTAATATGCTTGACTCTGCACTGGGAGCATAGATTTGAGTCTGAGTCAGATCAGAAATTATCAGGTGGTCTGACTTAGAAGTGATGAGTCCTATCCCTCACCACTTGATTTTTTCATTGTAGTCCTGAGCAAACCAATAATGGGCATGAAAAAACCTCGGTGCTCAGATCTCAAAGTATAAAAACAAAGGGAAAAAGTAGTCATTATCATAAGAATAGAACATGTGTGTTATAAATATTAAAACTTAAAAAATGTTAATTGCAAATTAAATTTAAAATTAATATATTGAATTATAAATCAATTTGTAAAATCAAAATTTTTAAGAAATACAACAAAATTTCAATTTACATATTATAACAAAAAGTTAGTAATTTTAATATATTCAATTATATAAATGAAGCATTAATAAATTATCAGTTTAAAAATGTAATTACTGTTCAGATATATTATTTAAAATTTCAGAATTGATTTTATCAAAGTTAATATATATCATTTTTTTTCTAGCATACTCCCAATTATTTTGATCCTATTTATGAACATAGATATTGGTGCAAGTGGATTAGTTCACCAAATCAAACACAGAAGTTCTTCAAGACTGATAAATGTGGATGGCAGATATTCCTAAAATCTTTGTTATTAAATGTACGCTCATCTGTTATTTCGTCAAAATGTGTAAGTATATAATAAAAACTTTATTTATGTGATGTATTGTAAATATTTTAGTTAAACTATTATTTCTATATATAAATTGTGATGACTTTTTTATTAGGTTAGGTTATCTGAGAAAGTAAAAGATATTCGTCAAATGTTGGAGAATTGGATTTGACAGCTCATAACTTTAATGTAATTAGTTGAAAAGTAATTACAGATTTTGTTTCTAAAAATATCAACATTGTAAATTTGACAATGACCACTTATATTATGTAATATTGTATGTATGTATGTATATATGTATTATGAAATAAAATATTTTTAAAATACAGAATCATTTTTTTAATTCCTTATTTTGACTGCTGATTATTTTTAATACAGAATGATTTCAGATTTTATATAAAGACCCATAAAAATTTAATCAATATACTAGGTCAGTGTTTCCCAAAAAAATGAAGTGGTGACATCATAAATCTACTCCTGCTACTTGATAAGCAGCCAGCAAAATTCATCATTACCTCAAATATAAACAAAATATGAAAATGAAGAGACCAGACTTTTGATGAAGTTTTTAGATAGGGTTAATGTTACCTATGGTGACCAAAACGGCGGCACTTCCGATAATCTTGAATTGAGTCGTTTAGTGATAATTTAATAGAGGGAGCTGCATAATGACATGTTTCTTTCTTTCAACTTCTTCTTACAGGTGTTAATATGGAGATTATAGCTCAAATAGGCTCTTTCTCCAATAGACTTGTGTATGATCGCTATGCGACCGATGAGCCAGCTGTACCTGAACAGCCTAATCGCGCGCGCGAGAAATAATGTCTTCCGGGAGNACTTCCATTGTTACTTAGCACTTCCATTGTTACTTAACACTTCCATTGTTGATGGAAGTGTTAAGCCTTAATCCTGTCCCTCTCCCCCATGGGGAGGAATTTTGAAAAATCCCTTCTTAGTGTGCGTTTTCGTGACGTACCCTATCTGTGTACCAAATTTCAACTTTCAACTCCTAACCGTTTGGGCTCTGTGCTGATTATTATTATTATCAACTCATCTCGATTATATATATAGATAGGATAGCATATATTAAAAGTGAAACTAAATTTGTAACTAATAAAATTTCTTAAATTTATTTCTGATTTAAAATTATTTGAAATATTCAAGTTTTTTCATATGTAATCTTAATAAAAATTTATGCAGTAAACTGTCTTAATATGCATGCATATTGAAACTATAACCATAGCCATATGTAATATGCTTGACTCTGCACTGGGAGCATAGATTTGAGTCTGAGTCAGATCAGAAATTATCAGGTGGTCTGACTTAGAAGTGATGAGTCCTATCCCTCACCACTTGATTTTTTCATTGTAGTCCTGAGCAAACCAATAATGGGCATGAAAAAACCTCGGTGCTCAGATCTCAAAGTATAAAAACAAAGGGAAAAAGTAGTCATTATCATAAGAATAGAACATGTGTGTTATAAATATTAAAACTTAAAAAATGTTAATTGCAAATTAAATTTAAAATTAATATATTGAATTATAAATCAATTTGTAAAATCAAAATTTTTAAGAAATACAACAAAATTTCAATTTACATATTATAACAAAAAGTTAGTAATTTTAATATATTCAATTATATAAATGAAGCATTAATAAATTATCAGTTTAAAAATGTAATTACTGTTCAGATATATTATTTAAAATTTCAGAATTGATTTTATCAAAGTTAATATATATCATTTTTTTTCTAGCATACTCCCAATTATTTTGATCCTATTTATGAACATAGATATTGGTGCAAGTGGATTAGTTCACCAAATCAAACACAGAAGTTCTTCAAGACTGATAAATGTGGATGGCAGATATTCCTAAAATCTTTGTTATTAAATGTACGCTCATCTGTTATTTCGTCAAAATGTGTAAGTATATAATAAAAACTTTATTTATGTGATGTATTGTAAATATTTTAGTTAAACTATTATTTCTATATATAAATTGTGATGACTTTTTTATTAGGTTAGGTTATCTGAGAAAGTAAAAGATATTCATCAAATGTTGGAGAATTGGATTTGACAGCTCATAACTTTAATGTAATTAGTTGAAAAGTAATTACAGATTTTGTTTCTAAAAATATCAACATTGTAAATTTGACAATGACCACTTATATTATGTAATATTGTATGTATGTATGTATATATGTATTATGAAATAAAATATTTTTAAAATACAGAATCATTTTTTTAATTCCTTATTTTGACTGCTGATTATTTTTAATACAGAATGATTTCAGATTTTATATAAAGACCCATAAAAATTTAATCAATATACTAGGTCAGTGTTTCCCAAAAAAATGAAGTGGTGACATCATAAATCTACTCCTGCTACTTGATAAGCAGCCAGCAAAATTCATCATTACCTCAAATATAAACAAAATATGAAAATGAAGAGACCAGACTTTTGATGAAGTTTTTAGATAGGGTTAATGTTACCTATGGTGACCAAAACGGCGGCACTTCCGATAATCTTGAATTGAGTCGTTTAGTGATAATTTAATAGAGGGAGCTGCATAATGACATGTTTCTTTCTTTCAACTTCTTCTTACAGGTGTTAATATGGAGATTATAGCTCAAATAGGCTCTTTCTCCAATAGACTTGTGTATGATCGCTATGCGACCGATGAGCCAGCCGTACCTGAACAGCCTAATCGCGCGCGCGAGAAATAATGCCTTCCGGGAGGACTTTTATGGGGAACTGGCCTCCTATTCAGTCGTCATTGGCAAGGAGAAAACCCGGAAAACTCCAAGCAGCCAGCCTGTCCGACCGTGGTGCGAACCCACGACGAACCTCCCAGTCTTTAGGGTCTGGTCACCACTACGATGAGCGGCAACGGAGACCACTCGCCCACTGGTGGGGGCATAATGACATGTTCTGATTTATGTAAATTTATAAATACGACCGTGATTTGTTTCGATATGTGAATATGCAAATTTTTTAGTACGAAGTGGTTATTGAAGTTTTGGCCTCGGACTACTGTATGCTTTATGGAAGTGTTTTTTGGAATTCCTGAATTATTCAAGTAATATTTTTGAAGTTTATTTGTAATATTTTGTTAAATAATACCTGTTCATTCATTGGTAATTTAAAAGTATTTGCTGATAGTATTAAGCTTATAATGAATTGTGTCGATATTAATTCCGATGTATTTTGGTCGGAATGCACCACCAGAATTTTTCCAACTACTAGAATCGGATTATACGGATTTAGGTTTGGATCAAAGGATTAGTGGTGATCTTTAAATTTGCAGCGAGTTTAGGATTACAACATATAGAGGATATGTGCAGTGTATACTCAAAACGGCGTAAAATGGTTTTCCGAACTGACAGAAATTCGTGTATGTTACGATGTAACAATTGCAAACCTAACTTTTCGGCTTTTGATGGAACATTTAAAGGCAAATGTGGTAATATTTCCTGGGGACCAATTCTGAGCTCTTCCGATAACTCGACGAGAGCGATACAAGGGACATTCGATAAGTCCCCTTAGCGAAAGGAAGTTAACGAACCTTAGACAAATCGCTATTCTGTGCTCCACGTTAAGTGGGTTTCGCTGGGTAGTCGGTCGAGATGCGTCGCTATCGATAGCTGTTACGCTTTAACCAATTACAGTTTAGTTAACATTGTATTTTTGTCACGTGACTGCAACCCGCTATTTTCTAAGCGAAGCACGTGGTTTTAGCATTGTCGCGCTAGTGAAATAGTTTTGTTTTAAAATGTCGAAGAAAGGCCAACAAAGCCAGCGAACTACCAGTCGCCAGTTCGAGATGCTCGTTAATTTTATAGAAGACAACCCTAAATTAATGTCAGGGATGTTAGATGCTTTCTTTACCATAAAAGATCGCCAGAAATTGTGGCAAGAAATAGCGGACCGTCTGAATTCCGATAGAGTCGGCTCACAAAAAGACCCAGAAAGATGGCGAAAGGTAACTGAGAGCTTAGAATATAAATATATAAATATGACTATCATTTTAATTTATACATATGCGAATGAAACCTATTTCAGAAATAATGTTTACGCTATAGCTACAGTAGAGCCTCGATTATCCGACCCAATTGGGGACTGGGGTTGGTCGGATAATTGAAAAGTCGGATAACCGAAAAGTATGAAAAAATCCATTATTAGTGTAGTATATTATTATATCCCATGTAATTAGTATATTAGTATATCGCTATTAACCTACTTCGCGTTGAATTTTCATCGATGTTAAGCCTAACAAAAATTTTTTAAAATAATAATCGTCGCTATTGTATCGTTAAAAATTAGAAAATTAAGCCTCGTTTAAATACTGGCTCCCTTTCATGGTCGAATGAGTGTTGCCAGCTAAAACACGTAAAAATAATATTAAAGTAGCCAGACATAGCCAAATATTGTAGCGCCATATCACTAGCGGACATTTGAAATTTGCCGACTAGGATGGTCGGTTAACCGAGGTGGCGGTTAATCGGGGGTCGGATAATCGAGGCTCTACTGTACTTTAAATTTTAACAAGAAAGCAATTACTGTACATTATTCATACAATATTCATAAATAATTAAAGTAATTACTTTTAAGCAATATAACAACATAGTTTATTAACTCTCTCTCTAATTGCTTGTGAAGTAAAATCATTCTTATACCAAAAGACGCCACGTTGTTTACACTTTCGTTACGTTCCTAACGGCAGCTCGAGAGCGATCGATAACAAAAGCTTAGTTATCGCACGTGGCTATCGGAACCGAAAACGAAACGTAGGGTTCGAAATAGCATTTTCACAGTTGATTAAACGCGAATCACGTGGTTCCGATAGAAATTGGTTTTTATCGTATTCGTTAGCTTAACGATACTACTCAGAATAGGTCCCCTGGTCTTTCGACTACCCCACGTTTCTTTATGCAGCGCTCGAGAAGCGCTTTACAGCGAACACACTGAAACTGGTTTCTAATTGGCCAACACTGCTCGTGACGTCATTTCNCTACTCAGAATAGGTCCCCTGGTCTTTCGACTACCCCACGTTTCTTTATGCAGCGCTCGAGAAGCGCTTTACAGCGAACACACTGAAACTGGTTTCTAATTGGCCAACACTGCTCGTGACGTCATTTCGCTACACTCTTGCTGCATAAAGAAACGCGGGACTACCTATCTTCGCTACTTGCTAAAATCAACTAGAGACAAATATTACCACCAGGGGCACTGCATCAGTACAAGAGCGCGCGATCAAATCGCAGTGAGGTCGAATGTTTTTTTTTTATTGAAAGATATACAGTAGAACCTCGAAA